GGGGGGGGTAGGGAGAAGTTATCCTTCTGCTCTAGAATCCGCTCAGGAACATCTGTTAAAGTTGGTTCTGTCTCTTTATCTTTGTAATGTGATTACAGGATGTCAGGCGTGAACTCTGTGTGGCTTGGCTTTACTTGGTTGTAAACAGTACATTGTGCTGCTGTGCCAAGGCGGGTGGGGAAGGCGTGTGTGTGTGTGTGTGTGTGTGTGTGTGTGTGTGTGTGTGTGTGTGTGTGTGTGTGTGTGTGTGTGTATGTGTGTGTACGTGGTGGCACACCAAACCAATGTGAGAGGATCTGGACTCTAAAGATGTACCTTATCTTATCTTTTTTTATCTTATTGTATGTACGATAGTGCCGAGCTACTTGGGATACAACTTCGGACAGGGCTGAGCCTCAATCCCCGAACCTGCAATCTAATACGGGGTGCCCATTGCGGATGGGATAAAGTCGAGTCGGGTCAGGTCGGGGGCGGTCGTCCCACTCGTGGCCTGAAAGCAAACGCGTTTGTTTTTTGAGGCGACGAGTTCGGCGCAATCGGCTTTTGCCACGATAGCCGCTTTGTGCCCTCAATCTAGCTAGCAAACCGACCCGACCCGACCCAACCCCCCAGTGGGGGCCCCCCGTATAACGATGACGAGTCCAGTAGCCGAACCACGGTACTACAACTCATATTTCAATGAAAGGGATTTCGGGAAATTTAAAGGACTGCAGTAAGGTCTAAAGCGCAGACCATAGGTCCTATTTTAGCAATTGCGCTGTATTCTAAAACATTAACGATAGTCACAAAAGTCATTTACTAAATCTAGTCTACATTTTCCTGGCTACAGGCACTAGTTTGACCAGTACAAAGAAGGGAGAGTAAAAATTGACGAATATCTTGCCGTCTTTGCATCATAATACGCTCATCATGGTTATAATTTAAATGTAGGTTGATTCTTTATTGTCCCATCAATACAGTTTAGAGTGTTTAGGAGACGGTCTGTAAGGGCAAACCCGACCTGAGATGACCACAACATTTTAGCAGAAAAACTAAAATAGACGACGCGAAAACATTCTCCCTTCATGGGACTCGAACTCCAGTTTTCTGCGCCAAACAGCAACACCGTAAAAGCAGATACTTCCAAGGTGTGAAATCAGCCTTTATGATGGTCTGATACATGAAAGAACATCGTTCTGTTGTAGGTGAGCGTTTATACACAGTTGCGTGGTTATTAATTAGCGCCAGTGACGAACGTTATACTAAATAAAACTGACAAAGGTCAAGCCAAAACCGAAGCAACGCGACAATGTGTCTGGTATTTTAATATGTGAGGCAGCGTGGTGGAATCAGGCTCTCGTCAAAATAATCAAAGTGAAGATACTTGCATTTTTCCGCATGTTTGTAAATTTTTATAAAATTTTTGTTTTTTGGCTCAACACCTTTCATGCCCAGTTAAGAACTCATTTCTGTGTGGATTTTTGTGAAAAACATTGATTAAAGACACAAAAAATGTAAATTTTCAGTTACCTCGGACTCTTATAGTAAGGATATAACTAATCTTTAGCGGCCATTTTTTCACTAATTTCACCTCTGAAAACAGGTGACCCCCACCTCCTTCATTCGCAAATATCTATACTTGTATTTAAGATAAATGGTTATTTTTTTCATCCAAGTAAAGACAAGTGAACAAGCGTTAAGATGATACCAATAACTCAACATGCCCAAATATTGACGAGAGCCTGATTCCACCACGCTGCCTCACATATAATATTTCAAAAACGTATTAACCAAACTTCGAAAACACTGATCTACGAGTAAAAATAAATTACTTTTTATGCGTAATAAAGGTAATTTTCAAAACACAATCAAAATTTTAAAAAAGTGTAAGCGTAGGAGCTTAACGCCCCTATCCAAGGTATTCGTTTATTTTAAAAGCGGAACCTCCGAATTTAATGTCAGTCTCCGACAGGACCAAGCCCAATGGTTTGAGAGCCTTGAAAAACTCCACAAAACGACCTAGGTAAAAAAAAAAACACCACTGTAGGATTTGAACCACGACCATCAGCTCTGTTCTCCTACATGATTACAACCGAGCTAACGATGCTCTCTTTCTCATTAAAAACTGAATACAAACCCAAACAATAATTATTCTGAACTGGCAGTTAATAAGGAAAAAATCCTACGTGAGGCTCGAACTTGCGTCTTCGTACTCACGCTTGAGATAGCAACTCCACTCACTGCTACACCACTGACGCCGCAGTTAATATCATTTTGGGTGCCTGGTGCTTTGTTGCAATCTGATCGGGCTAGCCTAGATTATGCATTCCGTAAATATAACTAAAATGAACAACCCAGATACCTACAATGAAGGTTCTCCAAATGTTGGGAATATTACTTACTGCATTTGATAAATATTCCGATAAAGATGCAAGGTGTGCGAAATTATAATTTGTAAGTCTATAATGATATGTTTATATGGTATGTGAATGCGTTGAAATGTCTCCAATATCTATGGGGGGTTTTTGCTTACTAATCAGAAAAAGAACATACTTCACAAGATAATATTATGTAATCCATTCTAGGACATTGAAATCTCATGTTTACATGCTAAGTAAGTAGTAGCCTACGGTATCAAACTATCACATATCATCGTTTCCATGCATCACAGTAACAGCTGTGCAACAGGCTTCTTCGCAGAAGCCTGATAGCAATGATAAGAAAGGAAAATGGAAAAAAAGCAAACTGCAAATTCCAGCCATATGAGCGAGTGTGAATCACGTTTTTCACTTTGTAAAAGCCCAAATATCACTTGTGAAGCAAAGTTCATCGATCTAGAGCCATTTTTCTTTACAAGATTTTATCCTCAAAAAGCTTTAGAAAATGAAACGAAAATAGGCTTACAACAAAATATTGACCTGGGGAAGTGTTAGGACAAGGATTGTCTTATTTCATGAGGTCTTTCCCTCGAGTTGGTCGATAAATTCGTAGATTTCAGAGCAGCCATTTTGCCACAGGACAGTCGTGGAGGCGGGAATTGGGAACTTTCATTTCTTTGCAATCTTTGCGGGTCTGATTTGTCAAACAAACAAAAACAGACACGTAAGCACTTAAACACACACACACACACACACACACACACACACA